TTTATTCTATTGTTCTTTATTCTATGCTTGCAATTTGAATTAATTAATTTGCATATTTTAATCAATCATGGCTAATTTCTTTTTCTTTTTCTTTTAAGCTAATTGATTTATTTGATTAATTATTTACTTATTCATATCTTATTTTAATTAATTAATCCGGAATAATTAATTAATCCGGAAAAAAAAGAAACTTTTTCGATATAGGAAGCAAGACGATCGTTTAAATCACTCATTTCCTTCTTTTCCCGTTCACGTGTATCACGAATTGCTGATGCAGCATTTTGTCCAAATGGTGACATACCACTGCTATGTAATGATGATGAACCGATTTCCGTTACGGTTTTCAAAATTCTACCACCGGTTGCTTCAAATTATAGATAATAAGCTAATTTTTTTTTTTTGGAAAATTTATTTTCTCATATATTCTATCCGGAATTCCGGATTTTCATTTTTATATTAAGCAATAAATAATTGTGATATGATATTTAGCAAGCATTCATAATTATGAATTTAATAAAAATTAATCCTTATATTCCCTGATGAGAATTTATTAAAAGCATACTTTGAAAATATTGTTTAATTTGAAATTATCAAATATTGCAAATTAGGATAGATGGCATTTTTATAATTTAAAAATTTTAAATTAATTTTATAAATTGATTAACTTAATGAGAATGTTAAACTTACATGTTGTCATACCATATGTTGGACTAGACATAGCTCCAACAGTTCGACTAAAAACTGGTCGAGCAGAAATGGTACTCCTATAATCCGAAACCGAAATTTCGTCCATTTTACTGCAAAAAAAAAAAAGGAAAGGAAAAAAAACAGATTCTTTTCTTTTTCATATTTTCAAAAAACAATTTATAAAATGTTAATTAAATTTTAATTAAATTATTTATTTGCTTATTAAATTACTAAAATTATGCTAAACTCAATTACAATAAAATTATTGAAATTTATGCGAAATTAAATGAATAATTCAAATTTCTTTATTTTAATTGGATAATGCTAATTTTAATATTAATTTCTTTACATTATAACTTTTTTATGATGCATTTACGGTATTACTATTAATTTTTGCAATATTTCATGTAATTTATATTTTGGAAAATTTTTTTTAAAGTAAATAATTTATTCTCTATACCTTAACATATTATATGAATCTTAATAAGATAACAGTTTATTCATTATACGCATTAACGTAATTGACGTAATTAGCGTAATCGATATATTACTAAGTTACACGTACTATAGCGTAATTCGCGGAAAAGAAACAAAATTATGCAAACATTGATCAATTCAAATTTTTTTTTTTTCAATTTCAAATATCAGAAAAAAAATACAATAATACAAAGAAAAAAAGATTAAATTAAATTTAATTTAACTACTGAAATCATTATCTTTTAATAATTATATTTTTTTTTTTACTTTGCGATCGATATGATTACATGAAATAATTATTATTTACATGTTAGTGTACCATTACAATGCTTGTTAAAGGAATTGAAAAATAGGTAAACAATTAATAAATATGTTGCAAAAACATTGTTGACAGGTTATTGCGATTTTTTCCCTCCTCCCTTAATTTATCCAAAATTTGTTTACTTATTCAACTTTTTTTCTTTTTCTCTTTTTACACTCATATCACATCTCATATTTATTCATACAATTATATTTTAAAAAAATAATTGTTTTAGCAATTAATATTATTTTTATTAAAATATTTTTTAAATTTGTTTATTAAAAAATAATTTACTTTCAAATAAACTTTGTCATATTTAATCCAACTTTTTCGCTTTCATAATTCACTCGTTTCTTTCTCAAAGTGTAAGTAAGAAAAAATAGGAATGAAAGAAAAGCTTTTTTATTAAACTTTGATAATATCATTAATTATTTTTATCATATGTTATCATAAACATTAATAGTTATCAATACATCAGTAATTGTCTCAATCTAAAAATATCATCAGTAAAAAGATAGGTAGGATTTTTTCTCATCAATGTTTGATAAAATAATATGTTTAATTGTTAAATATTTGATTAAAATTCATCGTCAAATTAATAAAATTTGTTATTTTTGTAAATTTTGTCATTTCTAATTTCAATAAAAAAGCCTAAATGGTTAATGATCACAAAAAAAAAAACACCTTATAGATGTATATATAACATTCTAAATAATTTATCATCCATTTTGGCTCCTAATTAAAGTTACAAACAATTAATTATTATTTATAATTAAATCTAACTCTCTTAAATCAATGAAATCTATATGTGTATACAGTATTTATGTTGTATAAATACCGTGTATATCACATATGTACTGTACGTATACAGTATATCATATATATGTGTACTGTATCGTTGATAACATATAGTATAATATATCATATGAACAGTATATATATATATTTATAATGTTTATTAATAAATGGAAGTAAACTGAAGAAAGATTGGAAATCACTGATAAGGTCTTATCATAATTTCTATAAGAGAAACTTGATGATAAACATATGGTAGCAGGGAATTGTAAACAACAACAATTATATATGAATCATTTTAAAAACAATAAAAAAGGAGATGAAAATTATAATTAAATGGGAAAAAAATTAAGCGAAAGAATTGGAAGAAATAACGATTTCATCCTTATTTCTGTAACATTAAAAAGAAAAGACAAAAAAAAAAAACGAAAAAACTAAAAAGAATAAATTTGTCATTTGTCATCCCATAAATAATTGAAAATAATTAATCATCCATTTTTAAATTATTGCAATATTTGATCAAGTTGACAAGTTATTCCAGTTATTAATTAATTGATTAATAAAAATGACAAATCTAATTTATTTCTTTTGCTAATTTAATTAACAATTCATTTCAATCTTTTTCATATTCTTCAATTTTTTTTTTCAATTTTTAAAAAATTCTTTAACTTTAGCAAACATAAATATATATATATATATACGTTATATAAGACTGGTCGATAAGTCAATACAAAGTTTAAAGTTTTTAAAAAGTACATTTAAATGCCATCAAAAAGGTCTAATGTATGTATGCGCTGTCAATGGGACAATTTCAGAAAATGAAAATGAAAAAAAAAAAAAAAATAGTCTGAAAGGGATGATGGATAGGATGAATAGATGGATGAATGGATGGATGGTTTTTTTTGCTTTC